TAACTGCAACTCCAAGTGTGATTTGGCCTTCCTGATTTCACTCCTGCACGCCTGAGCAATATTTTGTACCTAAAAAGAATGGCTCAGGATTGGGAATTTCCCTCACAACCTCAGCCATGAAGACCGAAGCAAAGAATTCATTTAGTTTCTCCCCAATGGCCTTATTGTCCTTGAGTGCTCCTTTAGCCCTACTCGTTGTTTAGCAGCTTCCTGCTTCTGATGTACTTACACATTTTTTTGCTATTACTTTTTGTGTTTTTGGCTAGCAGTTCTTCAAATACTTTTTTGGCCTTCCTAATTATATTTTTACACTTCATTTGCCAGAGTTTATGCTCATTTCTATTTTCCGCAGTAGGATTTAACTTCCACTTTTTAAAGGATGCCATTTTACCTCTCAAACCTTCTCTACTTAGTTGTTTACCCAGGGTGGCACTTTTTTGGTTCTCTTATTGTGGTTTTTAATTTGGGAGATACATTTAAGTTGAGCCTCTATTATGGTGTCTTTAAAAAGTTTCCCCACAGCTTGTAGCGATTTCCCTTTTGGCGCTGTACCTTTTCATTTCTGTTTTACTAACTTCCTCATTTTTGTGTAGTTCTCGTTTCTGAAATTAAATGCTACTGTGGTGGGCTGCTGTCGTGTTTCCCCCACCACAGGGATGTTAAATTTAATTATATTATAGTCACTATTAGCGAGTGGCTCAGTTATATTAACCCTTTGGACGAGATCCTGTGATCTAAGTCTAAATCTAAATCAAGAATTGCCTCTCCCCTTGTGGGTTCCAGGACTAGCTGTTCCAAGAAGTAGTAATTTAAGGTGTAAAGAAACTTTATCTCTGCATCCCATCCTGAAGTGACATGTACCAAGTCAATATGGGTACAGTTGAAATCCCCCATTATTACTGAGTTGTTTTTATTTTAATAGCCTCTCTAATCTCCCAGAACATTTCACAATCGCTATCACCGTCCTGCTCAGGTGGTCGGTCATATATCCCTACTGCTATATTCTTATTATTCAAGCATGGAATTACTATCCATAGAGATACAGTTTGGGTCATTTCAGATTTTTACTTCATTTGACTCTACGCTTTCTTTCACATACAGTGCCACTCCCCCAGCAGCATGACCTGTTCTGTCCTTCCAATATATTTTATATTACAGTGTCCCATTGATTATCCTCATTCCACCAAGTTTTTGTGATGCTTGTTGCATCAACATCCTCATTTAATATTTGGCACTCTAGTTCACCCATCTTATTATTTAGACTTCTAGTATTTGTATATAAGAACTTAAATGTCACTTTTTAGCTGTCTGCCATTACATGATGTAATTTAATTGACTTAGGATTCTGCGACTGAGGTTTTCAAAAGGTGCTTAACTCCTAACTTCAATGGGAATTTGGCAGCTAACTCCCTTAGCCATTTTTAAAAATCTAGTCCTGTCTCTTCATTGCCAATCCTGAGCCTTCAAATCTCATGAGCCACCCCTT